GAAAAAAAAAAAAAAAAAATATATTTAAAATATAATATTTCATTTCATTTTTTTTTTTTTTTTTTTTGTAAAAATATACAAAATTAAAATATTTATAATTATTTATAAATAGATCAACATTATATCCCTTTAAATTTTTTCTGATCTAATAAATTTTTTATTTTTTAATAGTTAATGAAAAAATCTAGCTTACAAAAAAATTATATTTATTTTATACAAATATAAATTAATAACAATCTAAAATGTAGTTTTGAATTATGTTATTATTATTGTTATTTAAAATTATCCTTTCCATTTATTTTTTTTTAAAAATATAAAATATTAATTCAATAATTTAATACATAATAAATCGAAGAATTTAAAATATTTTTCGAATTATAATAACTTCTAACAATAATTATTTTTCTCATAAAAATTTAAATTTACTCATAAAATAAAATCAATATATATCAATATTAATAAAAATATAAAAATAATTTTTAAAAGATATTTACTTTTAAAATATAAAATTTATTATTAGATTTTCACTATTGAAATATTCAAAAAGTATTTGTATGCTATATTATTCTGTGATTCTAAAGGTAATTTTTATCTAAATTATATAAAATAATTTCAAACTAAAATGAATGGCCTATATTTTTAAATTCTGATATTTTAAAAAAATATATATTTTTTTTTCTTATATTATTCTTAAAAATTTTATTTTTTAAAAAAAAAAGATTAAGCATCAATAATATTAATAAAATTCTCTTCTAATAATTTAAAATAATGAATTAAAATGAAATTATTCATTGATTAAAAAAAAAAAAAAATGAATACAATAAGAAATACATATATACTAATATAGAAACTGTATATGTAAACGCATAAATGCATTAAAGAAGCTAAAGATAAACAAAATTAATAAAAGTATAAATGAACTAAAGTTTGTTTATAAAACTAAGTATGTAAAGTTGACAATTTTTTTTATTTATTTTATAATCTATTATATTATTAGAATTTTCCTTATTCTTCATAAATACATTTTATAATCTTCATTTCCCACATAAATATTTTTAATTTTGTTATTTCCTATTATTTCTTTATATTTTCACTTTATTTTTGTTATATTTTATTTTTTTTTTTTTTATTATTATTATAGAAATATAATTAAGACAATTGAAAGTACGTTATATCATTAATATTTGTATGCAATAATAAGTGTAGTAATAATATTAAAGAAAAAGTAAAAGAAATATTCCATTAAAAAGTATTTATATGGTAACTTTAAAAAAATTTCTACTTTTTAATTTTATTTAAAGTGTAAAAATTTACAATTTTTTTTTTTTTGTTATAAATTCTTTTAATATTCCTTTAAATATTTAACAAAAATGTATACATATTTATATGTATTTTTTCTTTGAAATTATTATTTGTTTTCACCTCTATAAAAATATGATTCTTTTAAATTATATTCTTTCATTTAAGTAAAAAGTATAATTTTTGTGTTAATATTTTAAAAATTAATGACTTATGTTTATTTTTAATTAATATATAAATAGTATTAAATAGATGATATATTTGATTTTTAAATATCAACTTTTAACTTGTTCTTGATTACTAATTTAAAAAAAAAAATATATATATATATATAATTGTAGTCATATACGAATAATTTTACTAATTAATCCATTAAACATTTTTTTGCATCCTAATGAATTGTTATAATGTATTTTTTTTTTTTTTTTTCTTTTCCTTTTTAATTTTGCAAAAACAACTTTTAACAAACATTAAGAAATTTTTTTTCGACAAAAGTATAGAATATATGGTATTAAAAAAGATAAAGAAACTATATGAAAAAAAAAAAAAAAATTATTTATTAAAAGCTGAAATATTTCCTTGAAAAATATAAATTTAAGTAAAATTCATTATATATTCTTTTATCCATTATATTTAAAAATTAGAGAAAAAATAGTGAATCATTAAATTATAACAAAATTAATAAGGTGAAAATCGATTATACGTTTAAATTATGTATTAAAAGTAATATTGAGACATGTATTTTAATATAATAAATGAATAAGTTAAGAAATGAAAAAAATAAGTTTATTATTCTTAATAGCCAATATTAATTCCTCTTCATTTATTTTTTATTCTTTATAGAAAAATAATTATCTATATGATAACTATCATAGTTAATAATTCATAATAATATTCTTGTAAAAAAACAACAAAAAAAAAAAAGTAATATAAATCGAAAATAGAAAAAAATTATTTATTTTTAATAGTGAATATTAAAAAATCATATATTCTTTAAATATCTTATTCAAACTGATTATAGAAATATAAGATCTTCATTGTCTTAAAAAATGTAAATTATGTTAACGCTATGAACACCAATTATAATCGTGTTTTTTTTTTTTTTTTTTCTAAAGCATTTATGTATTATTTGTCCTAATTTTTTTTTTCTTTTAAATGTTTATCATCTGTAATATCTTTTAAATTTTATGTATGATGTTTTATAATTAACTTTATTATCTCAATCAAAAAAAAAGTAATATAAAAATCCATAAAAAATTTTTTAAAATAAATGTGTACCTATATGATACAAAAATACATAAATAGATATTCCCCTAATTTATTTTATTTCATTTGTAGCTTTATTTTTGTCCATTTTATACATTTTTATAAAAGCTTCCTTATATTTTTTTACACTTATAATAGTAATCTGTTTTTAACTAAAAAAAAAAATAAAATAATTTTATTTTATAATAATAAAGTTACACTTTTTCATTTTTTAAAATATTCCCTTTTAGATAACATAAGATATTTACAAAGTTATGTCAATATTAAGATAAAAATTAAAAAGTTCATAATTTGAACACTATATTTTAAATGTAAATCTACTATTTCCTTATTATATTTTTATCAAAATTTTAATAGTTTTTTTGGAAAAAATTATATAATATTTATAGTTTGTATAATTCATTATAATTTCAATTATTCATGATAAAAATTTTTAGTTATTTCTCTTATACCTTTCTATCTTTTTAATTTCGCAATCAAATAGTAGCTTATTTTTTACATTCCTAATATTTCAGATGTAATTTTAATATACACATATATATATTATTAAGTTTTTTCTTATGTTTTCTATTAACATAAATGCTTCATCTCTTTTTTCTTTTTCTTTATTTTTCTCATATATTATGTTTCTATTAATAATATTATATATTTTAAATTATCACTTGTGTTTTGTTCTTAATTTTTAATTAATAAAACAAATTAATACTATAATTTTTCGTAAATACTTTTTATTTTATTATTCAGTATATTATTTCATTTATTATATATTATTTTCTATTTTATACTAAATTTATTAAAATTTAGTTATTTTCAAAAGCATACCACCTCCTTTCTACGTTTTTTTTTTTTTTTTTTTTCTTCAATGAATTGTAACCTAAAAAAAATTAAAGGATGAGTATTTTTAAATAGTTTATTATTACTTGAACATGCTTATAAAAAAACCTGTTATAAATCAACTATGTATATTTAATCAATTAAAATATTTCAATTTATTTTTAAATAATATATATAACTTCCTTTACCCATTCTATTATATAAAGTAACAAAAAAAAAGATATACACTATAAAAACATATATATTTATTAATATGAATTGATAATTATTTCATATATCTTACACATTTATTTTTTCTTTAAAAATTTTTATGATATTTTCCTAAAAGTAATATATATATTTATTCCTTTATCTTTTCAAGAATAACAAGTTTAATCTTAATAATCTCTATTTTTTAATAATATTAGAGGATTCTTAAATAAAAATAATTGTATTAAATGAATCTAAATTATTTGAATATACTATGAAAACTCTAATGTTATTTTTGTAGGTTTCATTAGTTTAAAAAACTAGTAATATTCTTCTCACTATTTAAAAAATATGTATACTCTTAACACATTAGTTAAATTTATGTTATAAAAAAAAAAAAAAAAAAAAAAAAAGAAGAAAAATGAATTTCAATTATACAATTAAGGAAAATTCTTTTTCCATCTTTCTTATCTTCTTTTTTTTTTAAATTATATACATATATATGAAAGTGTAATACTTATCATTCGAGTGATTTATTAAAAAATAATATACTTCATTTATTAAATACTATTTCCTATTATTAAGTCTTTAATTTTAAAATATTCACTTCATTTTATTTTTACTTATTTTATGTTTATACACTATTTATTTATATGTGATATGTTTTTTTTATTTTTTCAAAACTCTTAATATTGTAATTTTTTCAAAACTTTTAATTTTGTAATTTTTACAAAAATGTGCTTTGTTCACTATCATTATTTGAAATATTCATTCATTTAAATATTTACAATATATATGTTTTTACCTGCATTGTTAATATATTTTAAACGAATTTTATATATTTTTAATATTTTTTTCTGACATTTATCATCTATTTAATATTATTAAAATTAAATTAAATTTTTGCAGATCCATCTATTTAAAAATAGTCTAGATCACCCCTTCAAATTAATTTTTAGAATATTTTTTTTTTTTTTATTTTTAAATGTAATTGTATTTTTTAATTAAGTTTGTTAAAAATTAATAAAAAAAAAAAAATAAATAAAAATCAAATATAAAACAAGGAGATATATAATTAAACAATTTTAATACCTCGTAGAAGTTTCCTTATAAAGATACAAATTTTTTAAAGAAAAAATTTTTAGCTATAAATGAAAAATTAAAGTTATTTTTATTTATATTAATAAAAGTTGTAAAATAAAGAGAAAAGTAAACTTTTGTATTATATATAAAATTTATAAATATATATTTATAAATATAATAAAATATATGAAAATATTTCTGTTTTTTTATTTATTTTTTTTTTTTTTTTTTTTTTATTTCTATTAATTAATTTTTATTTAAATTTTTATTTCTTATATTTTTTTATTTTTGTTTTATTTATTTATTTATTTATTTATTTTTTTTTTTTTTTAATTTTCCTTTATATAATAATGTATTGGATAATAAAATGGTAAAAAAGTCCTTTTCAGCAAACTTGAAACTTTTATTATTGTATTTTGATTTTTAAAATTAATTTTATATATAATATCATCTAATAATATGACATTAATTTTTTTTTTTAATTTTTTATTTTTTATATTATACATTGTAATATATTTTTCAATTAAATTTTTATTTTCTTTACTATTCATTTTAATATTTTCAATATTTTTTGCTTGACACCTTAGATATAAACTTTTAATAATAAAAGTTATATAACAAAACTTGTCCAGTTTTAAATAGGGATGAATCTTATTATTTTTAATTGGTAAATTATTAAGAAAAGAAAGAACAATAACAGGTTTTTTATATGATATTATGTAATCATTTTGTTTATTTTTTTCTTTGTATTTTATTTTATGACGTGATTTATAACAATATGATATTACATCTATATCATTAGTTATCAAAAAAATATTATCAATTTCTTTATTTTCAAATAATTTATTCACATCTTTTATCATTGGATTATCCATTTCGGAATCTATAATTATTTTTCTATATGACTGTAGTGGATGAACTCTTGTTATTAAATTTATATTCCTTTCTTCAAATAATTTTGTTGTACTTTTTAATCCTTCAAATAAGTATTCATAAGTATTCCTATATATATTTATCCCTTCAAAAATACCATTTTCACTAAATATTGATATATGTAAGTAAATAATTAAACAATTTTCTCTAAAAACTTCAGAAATTTTATCTAATATAACTATAAAATCTAATAACTCCATAGACCTTTCTTCATTTTGTTCAAAACATTCTCTAATATAATCAAAGTCTAATACTAAACCAAAAGTTAATGGTTTTTCTTTAGAAAGATTTGGGTTAATTTGCCTCTGATAATTTTTTATAAGAGGGTTATCTTTAACTATATATTTTATAGGATAAAATTTTGCTAAAAAATTATCAATCTCTAAATTTAATAATTCTTCACTTACATAATATATCTTATTTCCTATTTTCTTGTTTTTTTTTAGTAATTTAAATGTAAAAATATTTTTTTCATAAATACCTATTTCATATATATCAGTTTTGTAATTATTAAATAATCCTCTGTTATTACTATTGTTAAATCTTCTTTTATTAAAATTTCTTAGAAATTTATCTACTGAAGTTTTTTTACTACAGTTTAAATATTTTGCAAACATATTTAAGTATAAAAATAAGTTATATGACTTAGTAATATTGTAATTTGTTACCAATTTATTTCTTATATTATTTATTTCTCTATAATAGCAATATGTTGAAATTAATGATTCCTTGTTATCAATTTCTTTTATTTTAACATGAGTTCTTTCTTTTTTATTTTCCTGATTTATTTTATTAGATTCTATTTTTTTTTTTTCATTTTCATTTTCTCTATCACATTCCTTTTTTACTATAGCAATTTTTTTATATGGATTTTCTTTTAATTCTTTATCAAAATTTTTATTATCATTAATATCTATATCCATTTTTCTTTTTCCTCCATTTATAATTTCTTCTTCACTTAAATCAAAAAAATAAGTTACATCATTTTTATCTAATTGTAAATACCATGGCTTTTTAAACCCTTCATTGTGTTGTTGCACGGAATTTACGCGAAAATTTTGAGGCACCATATTATTTCTTGCATTATTTTCGTTATTGCCCATGTTTTTTTTTTTTTTTTTTTTTTTTTTTTTTTTAGAACTAAAAAAAAAAAAAAATTTTTTTTTTTAGTTAATATTTTTAATAAATTACCTTTTCTTTTATTTTTTTAATTTTTATATTAATAACTATTTCATAATTATTTAACATAATATTTTAATTTTTTTTAATTTATACAATTATCTATTCAATGTAATTTATTTCCGTTTTTACTTATAATTTTATTTTACTTTAATATCTTTTTTTTTTAAATTAAAAAAATATAATAAATATAAATAATATATAAATATTATATATATAAGTATATATATATTTTATATATTTATATATATATATATTTATATATATATATATATATATATATATATATATGTATATATATATTATATAAATAGGTATATATATATATATATATAAATATGTATAAATATATATATATATATATATGAACACTTTTTAAGATATTAGAGCATTAGTATAAAAAAACATGGTAAATTCTTCCTTTTTTTCTCTCCTTTTTTATAAAGTATAATTTAGTATTATATTTCATTTACACATGCATTTCATATTTCTTATATATTAAAAACCAATTTGTTATATCTAATACTCAATTTAAAGTAATTTCGAAATAGAATGGTTATTATAAAAATAGGAAATTTTCCTACTCTTTGATAACTTACAATTTTTAATTTTAAATGCATGCAAAAGAAATACATTTATTATATACATGTGTATAATGCACTAATGCAACGTGATTCAATTGATATGATATTATCTCTCTCTTCTTTTCTTTTTTTTTTTTTTTTTTTTTTCTTTATCTCATTCTCATTATCTATTTTTTTCTTTTTTCTATTTTGTTTTTTCTATTTTCTTTTTTTTTTTTATTTTTCTTTTCTTTTTATTATTATTCTTTTTTATATCTTTTTTTTTTTTATATTTTTTTTTTTTAAGTATAAAATCATCTAATATTGTATTTTTCTTTTTGATTATATTTTTTTTTTGTAGCTCAAGAGCAAAATAAATTTACATATTTTTTAAAAGATCTATTTTTACATTTATTCTTAATATTTTTTTTTTTTTTTTGTAATACCTAGTAGAATTTTTTAAATTTAAACAAAAAATAAAACGAAATTAAAATGAATTTTAATGTTACTAATAATTTGTAATTTGTATTTATTATAGTTTATAACCATTGAAGAACTATCTAATAGACAATTAAATTTGAAAATGCATCCTTTTATATTCATCTACGAAAAAGTATTTTATATTTTTTTATAATTTCATATAACTACTATTGTTAATAATATTTTTAAATAATTTAAGTAACATTTTTTTATCTTAGTTTCAAATAATTTATATTACATAATATGTATATATATATATATATATATATATATATATATATATATATATATTTAAGAGCTTAAATTTTCAAAAAATAGTTTTAAAAAAAAAAAAAAGATCAAATGTATAAAATGTTATATATTAGAAATAATGCATTTAAAGAAAATTTAAAAAAAAATTTTTTTTTTAATTTCATTGAAAAACATGTGATTACATTTCTATTAAAATAAAAAGATTAAACAACTATAATAAAAATAAAAAAATTTTTTTTCTCCTTTTTTATATATTAATTATTTAATTTATTTTTCATATAATCTTCATATATTTTTATTCCAATATGTTTATATAATTTATAACTGAATAAAATTCCTTTTTTTTATTTTTTTTATTTCTAAAAGATTCATTATATTCTCTGATAGTATTTTGTACAACATTTTTCTCTTTTAAAGGATAATTATTAATTTTATCTTTTCCATATAACAACTATTATTAATATTTTCATTTTTATTCTTATTATATATAAAGAAATTTATGTATATTTTATTTAATTATTTAACTTTTGTTTTATTGATATTTATTTATTAATTTAAATTAGATGTTATATTTACACCATAATCTGTAATATGTGTAATACTTATTATTTCTCATTTAAAACATTTATATTTTACTATATATAGGATATGAAATTATTCTTTTTGTTTCAATTTTTATTTTATCATAACTTTACTTCTTATTATAACTAGTATTAAAAGTTGAGAAAATTATGAAATTTATTTTTACTTTTAATATTTATTTCTTCTAATATTTTTATATTATCATAAATTTACTTCTTATTATAACTAGTATTAAAAGTTGAGAAAATTATGAAATTTATTTTTACTTTTAATATTTATTTCTTCTAATATTTTTATATTATCATAACTTTACTTCTTATTATAACTAGTATTAAAAATTAAGAAAAATATGCAATTTATTTTTACTTTTGATATTTATTTCTTCTAATATTTTTATTTTATCATTACTTTACTTCTTATTATAACTAGTATTAAAAGTTGAGAAATTTTATGAAATTTATTTTAACTTTTGATATTTATTTCTTCTAACTTTTGATATTTATTTCTTCTAACTTTTGATATTCACATCAATTTCTTCAAATACCTTTTTTAATTATATGTTTCTATATATCATAATAATACTTGTTTGAAATCACATATAATATACTTATTCTATAAAAATAATTATTTTATTAAAATATTGCATTTATATATTTTCTACATTTTTGGTGTGTATTTATAGGAATATTTGTTCTAACAATCAATCATTTTTTTCTATACCCCAAATAAAATTTATTTTTTTTTTTATTTTTCATAAAAATTATTTTAATTAATTTTTATATCCATAAATTAATAATAATCTTTTAACACATCTCATAATTTTTAATTATTTAATTAAACAGAGTAATATTAAGAATTATAATAAAAATAAACATACCTACTGAATGGCCCTATAAATCAATATTTTTATTTTTCTTCACATTTTTTTCATTTTTTCTTCTTTATATTTTTTATATAGTGTTTTACTTTTTTTTTTTTTTCTTTAATTTTTTTCATTAATTTCATATATATAATAGTTTTAAATGCAACTCTTTCTATTTTTTAATGATATTGTTATAGCATGCTGATAAAAAATTCATTCAAAAATAATTATATTTGTAAATTTAAAAATAATTTTTTTTTTTTTAAATATTATTTATAATTTCTCTTATTTGTTATAATCAAAAATATATAATTTTTTTATATTTATAAGAAAAAATTTATTATATAAAACTTATAAAAAAAGAAGAAAAACTGCAAGACTTTGAAAAAAATGCAACTTTTTCTGAGTGTAAATTATTAATATTTAAAATTTTTTCGATGCAACAAAAATATATTTATATATATATATATTTATAAAATTGTTTCACATATTTTTGTATATATAAATCGATATTTTCTTTAACATTTTAAATACTTATAATGTTAAATAATAACCATAACTTTATCTAAAATTGGTAAATTAAATATATTATTTTAAGATTTCTGCAATTTTTTTATTTTTAAAAAGAAAAAAAAAAAAAAAAAAATGAAAGAAAAGAAAAACAAATAAAAAGATGAAAAAAAAACTTTTTAAAATGTCACAAACTATTATTGTTATAATTTAAATTATCGTATTATTCTTTTTATATTTCTTAAAATTATTTATGAAAATAGTTATATTTTCTTAATTTATTAGAAGTAGTCTAACAAAAAGAATACGAATGTTATTAATAATTTCTAAAATTAGTAAATGTCTCTAATCGAATTGAGCAAACTTTATCTCCCTTAAAAAATTAATTTTAGAAAAAAAAAAGATTTTTCTTAATTTAATTTATTCTCGCTTCGAAATTTATTTTTTTTTTCTATGTTACAACGAAAAATATTTAAATTTTTTTTATTCAAACTAATTAATTCTATAATAAGAAATTATTGAAAAAAAATATAAAAATTTTGAAGGTATTCCTAAAAAAATTTTAAAGTCATGTAATAGTTGTAAAATGCATGAAAAATAGCAATTGAAATTGCACTACAAAAAAAAAAAAAAAAAAAAATTATAAAATTATTAAAAAAAAACACAAGAACTGTATCAGAAAAAATAGAAAAAAAAAAATTAATAAAATACTATATATTAAAAAAAAAAATATAAACATAATAATGATATTATGACATATAAAAGTTATAGCATTTAAAGAAATTATATAAAATTATTATAAATAAGAAATTACGTTTAGATGATATATATTTAACAAAGTTATAAATAAATATATTAAAAAAAAAAATAAAAATTATCACAAAAACAAATTTCATCGAAAAACAATATAAAATTATAAAACTTATAAAACTATATTATTTAAAAAAATTTTCTCTATTTAATATTATTTCGTAAAAGAAATAAGAGAATAATGATATTTATTAATATTTATATTTTACTTTATTTTATCTTTAATATATTATTCATTAGTAAAAATATATAACATATAATATTTTATTACATTATTATATATACACAATTAATATATAAATGAATATGTTTTAATAATGAAATATAGCTCATATTTTTTTTTTATTTTTTTTTTAACCTACTTGTAATTATGAAAAAATGAAATATAATAAATAACTAAAAACAATGATATTCAATAGTATAAAATGTATTTCCATATTAATATGAAATAAGAAATAAATTAATTAAATTACTTTTTAAAAAAAAAAAAATATTTAAATAAATAATAGAACATTTTCCTTGTTCAATATAATATGATACTCATTCGTATATAAAGATTATAATACTTCAATAAATATTAATAATAGGAATAATTTATAAGTATCCTTATATTAATTATTTATAATATTACAAGAGAAATAATAAAAAATAATAACAATTTCGAAGAATACATATGTATTATATTAAAATCAAATTATATACTTTTTATATCACACATTAATTGTCATAAAAAGTTATGAACAGTTAAGAATACATTATTTTTTTTTAATAAAAATCTAATTAAAAAAAAAAATTTTAATTCATATATATTATGATTATCTTTTCTTTAAACAATTACAAAAATTTATAATTTCTTACATGTTTC